TATATATACGTATTCATATACGTGTATGTATAACTCATAATATACGTATACGTATATGTATACGTATACCCATATACGTATATGTATACGTATATGTGTACGTGTATACATATGCGTATACGTATATGTATATACGTATACATATACGTATATGAACACGTAAATGTATATACGTATACATATACATATACGTATATGTTTATACGCATACGTATATGTTTATACGCATACGTATATGTATATACCTATACATATACGTATATGTATACGTATATACGTATACGTATATGTATATATATATACAAATACCTATACTTATATACGTATACGTATACTCATATACGTATGTATATACGTATACGTATATGTATATACGTATTTGTGTTGACGTATACGTATATATGTATATGTATATATGTATATATGTATACGTGTATGTATATACCTAAACGTATATGTACATAAGTATTCGAATATACATATTCGTATACGTATAAACATATACGTTTTTATGTATATACGTATACGTCTTTGTATTTACTTATATGTATCACAACATGACAGAAGTTCTATCAAAAACAACACTTGAATCACGTGGCTCCTTAAAACAGTTTAATCAGTACAAATTTTCCTTCGTCTTGTACAAACGACTGTTTCTGCTACTTCTTCAGACTGTGACTCACAGCACAGAATGTAGCCATGATATTCCTTGGAAGAAATATCGGCTTCTCGTCAGCTCTTTTCAACTAACCAACTGACTCACGTACACTACAACAGAGCCAACTCTGTTCAGGATTATACTTGAGAACAGTGGAACTCATTTTCCACATGCTGGCTTTAGTCGGCCTCTTACGGCTTACGGGTAGAAAAGCCAACCTGATTTAGCATTTTCGTCATTTCGGTCACCTGAAAAATAAAAAAAAATGACGTTGGCTGATGAAATCATTTTGGGGTTTCAATCTCAATATTGTGCCATAGAGTGATATCATCTGATCATAAGATAGATATAAAGCAGGTGCAGAATTCTAATCACAAGTCATATCAGCAGTTTCAACTCATGCCGCAGGGTGGCGCAAGTGCGTGGTCCGTACCTTGATGACGTCGTCCATGCAAGTTTCCCCGAAGTAGATGTTGCCGCTGGGTTCGCCCGGCTCGAAGGTGATGTTCTTGCCGTCCTGCACATTCGTTTCACCCTACAGGGGGCGCAAATAGTTGAGGAGAAAGTTGAAGGCAACCGACGCGATGTCACGATGTTAAAACTGGGATTTTCAAGATCAATTTTTTTGGACAATTTTAGATACAGTAAATTTAATTAACGATATCCCATAGTCTTTTCTAATATCTGTATGTCGCTCACGGAAATGGTCAATTGTTTCGTATTGTAGTCTGGTTCTGGTGGCTTTGGTTTGGTAACAAAAAATAAAGGGACTCTTCCTGATATCCTTTTCAGCATAAGAACGTGATCAGCACTGTCCTTAGTGCTGAACCGCCATCTTTCACACAACAGTCACACATAATGATACGTCCTCAAGCGAAATTTATGCACATTGCAGCTCATCATGAAGTTGTTGGTGTTATCATACTTTTTGATACTTTGCCTGTCTATTTATTTTGTTTTGCTGTATACTGATGACTAAGAATGAACCATGCCTGATAATCAAATACATATTGTCCATTTTGTTGCAATCTGTCCAAACTATTGTCGCAGTTTGTGTTAAAGATAACCTTACCTTGTTCCCGGAAATGACTCTGATGGTCGGCAGGACCTTCATGCTTGGCGCGTCGGTAGCGTTGACGTTGGTGCTGCAGGTCAAGTGTAAAGGAATGAACGAATGAATGAATAAAAGGTAAAAAAGGAATGAACGAATGGATGAATAAAAGGTAAAAAAAGGAATAAACGAATAAATGAATAAAAGTTTAAAAAGGAATGAACGAATGGATTGATGAATGAATAAAAGTAAAAAGGAATGAACGAACGAATGAATGAATAGATGAATGAATAAAAGGTAAAAAAGGAATGAACGAATGAATGAATGAATAAAAGGTAAATGGATGAACGAATGAATTGATGAATGAATCAATGAAAATAAAAAGGAATGAACGAACGAATGAAAGGATAGATGGATGGATGCATGAATGAATGAATAAAAGGTAGCAAAGAATGAACGAACGAATGAATGAATGGATGAATGAATGAATAAAAGGTAAAAAGGAATGAACGAATTAATGAATGGATGGATGAATGAATGAATAAAAAGTCGTTCAGATTATTGCATAAGAGCAATCGCAAAAAAAAACCAATAAAACGCCAAAGACACAAAATCTGAGAAAATAAAACTAAAAACTGATCATTAGTGATAATTGATCATTTCAGCTTTGCAGAAATCAACTGATTTCGGTGGAGAATTGCTGTTATCATAATTTGAAAAGAAAAGATGCGCAAAACTGTTGTGTGCTTTTTCTTTACCACGGTGTACGTGCATTTTGGTACTGAGAGCATATTCAGAAAACAACTGTTGCAGTCAATGAATAATCATTTTTTGGACTGATTGTCTCGCCCCCCCCCCCAAAGAAAACAACAACAAATGACTATGATACATGTAGAGATGTGCCACGATAGCAAGCTAGACAAACCATTGTTGTTTTTCTCTCACAAATTTACTTCTTGAGTTTAGTTCATCTTAATAAATTAATTGAAAAGTTTATTGCAAGTAATTTCTCGAAGGCTAAATACAAGCAACATGAAACTAAAAAGGACGGACAATAAATAACAGTAATAGTATTTGTTACTCTAAGTCTAAATTATTCTATTTTGTTGGGTTTGACTTCTTTTTCCGACACAGTGGAAGACGAATGATCCCACCTTTTCTATAATGTGTGGGTTTTGTAATGTTAAGAGGAGAGTAGTTTTCTTTTTGTACTTAACATTACAAAACCCACACGTCTGTAAACGTGGAGAAATTAGGATGGAATTCGTTGGCCTTTTCAAACAGGCCCTTTCTTTATGGTCGTTGAAGTAGCAATTTTTTATTTGGGTTCGGTTCAACACATTTCATTTCAGTGCACACTTTTTGCTCAGCTATGGCACAACACCTAATGGCAACACCACACCTAATGGCTTTTCTTCAATGTTTTCCAAACATGTGGTCAGCGCTCTTATCTCAGAATCTGAAGGTTCAGGGTTCGAATCCTTGGCAGGCTCCACTGTTGTATCCTTGGGAAAGGCACCTATTTCCTAACTCGGGTGAAAATTAGTACCTGGCTTCGAACAGGGCTGTCCTCTCAAATTGGATGTAAAGCGAATGTTCCGTGAGGGCCACACACGTACATTGATCCTACCATATTATAAAAAGAGCAGGGGTCCTTCCCGGTGTGAGTGGTTCAACCCTTACAGTCTGGTCTCAGGTCTGACATTTTAAAAGGATGATATGTTATGTCATTCAAAAAACGGAACGGGGTAAAGCTCCCTAAATAAATTTTAGAATAGAATATCAACTTTAAAAAATCTAAAAATTTTTACCTTGCTCCAGGATCGGTAGCTTCCCCGGGGAGGGTGATCGCAGGGAGGAACAGCAACAAGGCGATCCCCAGGATATAGGGGGTCCGCCCGGGGGGTGGGGAACGTAGCAGCCAAAACATCCTGCTCAGAAAAACCACCAACGTGTCCGCTCTGGGTACTGAGAATATACAGGGAGGAACGTCATATAAATAAGATATTTCTGTTAATGATATGCATTGGTCTGGAGTCGCATGTATGCGTGGAGGCATATGGCGAAGGGATTGAATAGTCATGTGAAAGACACTGTAACGTGATTGGTTAAATATCGGTTTTGTTTACCACCAAATATGTACAGTATAATGATTATGTATATCGTCTCTCTGTCTGTCGCTCTATATGTAGTATTAGATATATCGTCTGTATGTATATATCACATATATGTATACATGTATATACCATATGTATGTGTATATATACGCATACGTATGTACGTTTAATATATAGTATTACATATATCGTCTCAATGGATACATATATATATGTTTATTGTGTGTGTGTGTGTACATACATATACGTATGCGTATGTACGTATACGTATATACGAATAAGTATACGTAGATACGTAAACGTATATATGTGTATACGTATACATATCTACGTATACGTATATACGTATGTACGAAAACGTATACGTAGATACGTTAACGTATATACGTGTGTACGAATACATATCTACGTATATGTATATGTATATACGTATACGTACATACGAATATACATATACGTATATGTGTATATACGTAGACATATATACGTATACACTTATATATCTATATACGTATACGTATATGTATATACGTATACGTATATACTTACGTATACGTAGATGCATCAACGTATATTCGTCTACGCATATATACGTGTACGTAAACGAATATGTATATACGTATATATATACGTAAACGTATATATTTATATATATATAATATGTATATACGTATACGTATATGTACACATGTATACGCATATACGTACGTTTACGTATATGCATATACCTATACGTATATACACAAATATGTATATGCCTATTTATACGTATATGCATATTTATGTATACGTATATACATTTTTATGTATACGTATATACATACGTATATACATATATACATATACGTATACGTATATACATATATACATATACGTATACGTATATACATATATACGTATGGGTATATACATATATACGTATACGTATATACATATACGTATATACGTATGGGTGTCTGTATATGTACGTATATGTATATGTATATACGTATACGTGTATGTATATGTACGTATACGTATATGTTTATGTACATGTCGGTATTAACGAATACGTATACGAAGACACGTATACGTATATACGTGTATAGGTATACATTTCTACGTATACGTATGTGTATATATACGTATATATATATGTGTGCATACGTATACGTATATATGTATATACGTTAACGTATATGTATATACCTTTACGTATATGTATACAACTATACGTATATGTATATACGTATACGTATACTTTGTACGTATACGTATATACATATATACGAATACGTATATACATGTATACGTGAACGTATATACATATAAACGTATACGTATGTGTATATGTACGCATACGTTTATGTATATACGTATATGTATATGTACGTATAGGTATACGTATATGTACGTATACGTATGAACGAATACGTATATGTAGATACGTATACGTATATACGCGTATACGTATTCATATCTACGTATACGTATATCTATATGTAGTATACGTATATATGTATGTACGTATACGTATACATGTATATACGTAAGGTATATGTTTTTACTTATATGTATATACCTATACGTATATGTATATGTATACATATACGTATACGTACTTACGCATATACATATACGCATATATGTATATACGTATACGTTTATGTATATACGTATACGTACATGTACTTGTACGTATACGTACATATACATATACGTATATACATATACGTATACGTACATATATATATATATATATATATATGTATATGTACTTGTACGTATATGTATTGTATATGTACGTATACGTATATACACATACGTATACGTACATATATACGTATATTTTTATTCTTATATGTATATAGGTATAAACGTAAACGTATATGTATATATGTATATACGTTTATATGTATATACGTTTACGTATACATGTATATACGTATTCGTATATATGTATATACGTATACGTACAAAGTATACGTATACGTAGATACATATACGTATAGTTGTATACATATACGTAAAGGTATATACATATACGTTAACGTATATACATATATACGTATACGTATGCACATATATATGTATACGTATATATACACATACGTATACGTAGAAATGTATACCTATACACGTATATACGTATACGTGTCTTCGTATACGTATTCGTTAATACCGATATGTACATAAACATATACGTATACATACATATACATACACGTATACGTTTATACATATACGTACATATACAGACACCCATACGTATATACGTATATGTATATACGTACATATACGTATACGTATATATGTATATACCCATACGTATATATGTATATACGTATACGTATATGTATATATGTATATACGTATACGTATATGTATATATGTATATACGTATAAATATGCATATACGTATTTGTGTATATACGTATAGGTATATGCATATACGTAAACGTACGTATATGCGTATACATGTGTACATATACGTATACGTATATACATATTATATATATATAAATTTATACGTTTACGTATATATATACGTATATACATATTCGTTTACGTACACGTATATATGCGTAGACGTATATACGTTGATGCATCTACGTATACGTATATGTATATACGTAAAGGTATATGTATATACTCAAACGTTTATTTATATACATATATACTTGTATACCTATATATGTATATACGTAGAGACCATGTACCACGTTATTGGGTTGTCTGGAGTACCATTTTTATCGTTGTCTCGGAGGAAAGCTATGCTCGTTACCGCATGTAATAACATATAAGGCCACACCGATTTTATTTTATGATTGAGATCCTCTGAACACCCCCAAACTAGTGGGCGCGGGCGAATAAAAAAAAACTCCGGCCAAAAATAAAAATGCTACTAAACCACAGGAATACAAAGCTGGCACATGCTGTCTTTTTGCGGCATTTATAAATCGGTACTGTGCTCTTATGTACTGAGTTTTTGAGTCGTGGAGCTTCGGTAACCTGGGTGCTAACTACCATGTACTACCCAAACCTTGAGCCAGGCCAGAGCCTTGGTGGACGTGACCTTTTTTTTTTTTTTTAATGGCGACAGGCGAAAATTAATGCGCGCGTGGATGTCATCCATAAAATTAAGGCGGTGTGGCCTAAACGTTCGCCCCAGACGAACAGATAAAGCTTCTTTGCCTCTCAGCACGAGGTAGTCTTTCAGTCTAAACAAGTGGCATTGCTGGGCAGAATGCCCACAAGATTTCATCAAGCGTGCAGTTTACTCTAACCTCCACCAGGCCTTCCGGAGGCACGGATCCTAGAATTCGGTAAAAAAGAGAAATATTTGGCCAGGAGAGACAGTCTGCGAGAGGGTTAATTTCCCTACTATCCAAGCAGAGGTTGATTGGGGAAGATCGTTACCTTTTTACATATTTCCTGTATTTTTTTGTCGCTACCACCACCTTGGTGGCATATTGGACCCTCTCTGGCCAATGGATACTACCTGGCCAATTTGATACTGTCTTCTTGCCACCCTAGGATCTGATTGGAGATTATAATTTCCCCCTATGACGTGCAAATGAACTCTACGCAGGCTAAATTTATCATAGGCTATTATTTTCCCTATTGACTGATTTTATTTTTTGTTTATAGATAAATGGCCTGGGTCAAACAATGATCATTTATTGAAAAATGTTTTCTCCTTAAGTTGAATGATGAGGATAGAAAAATTGAGACATTTGAATTCGTAAGATGAAATCCATAATTAAATCATCGTATTTTTTCAGGCCTGTATGTGTGATGATTGCCTATTTCCTTGTCGTTAATCTAATGTGAACTTGATTATCGAATGCAAATTTTGCTCATGATTTACATGTGACACAGCACCTGTACTTGAAACACGCCTTTCCAAGATGGCGGGTGTGCATGAAAGGAGAGAAGGAACGGGTACAAATTCCGCCCAGGAAGACTTCAAACTTGCCGGGTACTTTTTAGACGTTTTCGTCGGTAGAATGTCTTAGTAAGTGTGCAGCAGAATGTCTGGGAGTGTTCGCCGAGGATTCGTGCCGTTCTGTTGATGTTTTGAGGAGAAAATGCCTATTTCCTGACCTGGCGAATTTTGGAGAAGACAAAAATGGCGAGACAGTTGGGAAGAGTAGCGTGGTATAGAGACGACTTCCCTTAGTGTTGCAGGTAAACCAGTACATTATTTGGCTGACACTAGTACGAACATGTCAAGTTATATTACGTAAGAAATGATCTATTTCTGTATTAGGGAGCGGCCGTTCCTAATTTTATACAGGCTTAGAAAAAGTCTTTCAAGTTGCCGCGTTTTCAACAACATTTTCAATGTGTGGTGCGCTTGTAGAGTATATATAAAATGTCTTTTTAGTCAGTTGTTAAGCGTTTTGAGGTTATGTCTGTTGAAAGAAATTGTGTATCGACCAAACATTTTTCTTTATCTCCACGTGGTTCAAAACACCCGTTGGAATGTGGCCGAGTACATAATTAGTTCTTTTTCCCGCTAAAAGTTTGCGTGAACAAGATGGGGGCCTCAAAGCTTCAGGGCGCCGAAATAAATAAGATACAAAACGGTTAAAAACTAGTTACGTCGAGGCGACCATACTTTCGTTCTTTATTATCATTTGCAATGTATTATGTATAACTTAAAAGCTTGTTCGTTTCCATTTTAGAGCAATTCAGTAAATAGTAATGACCAAGCCCAAGTATTTCTGGCGCAAACACTACAGTTGATTATGCTTGAAGGTAGCAATTCCTGATTTCAAAACATTTTGCGCCGAGTGTTTTCGTATTCCCCATAAAGCATATTCCACTAACCTACAGTGGGTGTCACTGG